TTTTATAAGTTTTTGGGGCGAAATATAATGACAAACGGAGAACCGAAAAAATTGAAAACCGTACAGTGTTAGTTTAGGTATGTTGTAAAAAGTTATATAATATATGTGTATAGGCTACTAATAACGATATATACATGTTTGTAAAGCTAATGAAGTATGGTAAAGAATAAAAAAAGTCATAAAGTTTATGGTAAATATAATGTTTTACCTATAAACATACGTATATAAAATAATGTTTTTATATTTTAGCGATTTCGCGAGAAAAAAAATTCACAGTATTTAGTATACAACTTTTGTACCAAATTTGTTTACTTCAAACTAACATAATAATCTTGTTGTGTATTCAATTACCTACATAAAAATGTATAACATGTTAGAAATATTTTTTTGTAGGTACTTACGTAATAGGGACATAATAATACAATAACCGCAAAACCGCAAATAAGTGTAAACTGATACAGTGTTTGTTTGTGTTGTAAAACATTATGTAGGCTGATGATATGTACATATTGTAAAGCTAATGAAGTAAGGAATCCAAAAAAGTCATTAGTATGATGGTAAAAAGTTATTTTCACCTATGATTATGTATCAATTTCAGAATGTTTTGAATTTTTTACGCATTTCGAGAAAATGGAGTGTACAGTATTTAGTATATAACTTTTTTACCACATTTTTACACCCAAACCAATAAAAACATGTTGTAGTGTATTCATTTACCTTTATAAAAATGTATAACACCTTGGGTATATCATTATATAGCATGGCGAACTAAGGTCCATCTCTTATTTAGTACGTACGTACGTATTTAGTAATAAACCGCGGATAACACCAGAGCGAACACTCACGGCAACAACAAACAAAGACGAATACACAAGACAGCTGTAGCAGTAATGACTCACTTCCATCTTCTTCATATGTGAGCAGACGTAAATAACCCTGAGCAGGGCTGCCACTCTCACAATCTATATTTCTTCCCCTTCAAAATGACATATTATATGACTAGTAATAATAACTTACAGTGTATGTAATTCGTATTTTCCACATCATCACCTGACGACCATTGGCCATTTGTTAAAAATTTTGAAAACAGCTGTTTTCATAAAATCGTACCGGTTGTGCAATCAATACGGTATTTCTTTCTACTACCACAATAAAGATAAAATCAATGGCTATCCAGTGGTACCACCCGCAACATCCCACGACGAAAATTATCTGAGCAGGGTAATGCCAAACAAGACGTGTTTTGACAGTTCCCAAGTGTCGGCTACAAAAGTCGTGCCGCGCCAAAAATTCATTTGATTTCTAATCGTCGTGACATTGTTATATACCTGCTACAGGGTTTGTTTATGTAATAAAATGAAAGTTCACAATGTGATCTTTCGAATGGTGTAAGTATTATTCTCATCTGAGTTGATTGTAAGTGTTTCTTTTACCGCTAAAAAAATATCGGCCCAGATCGTCACCAGACGACTTTGGCCATTCTAAGCATCAACGTCAGATCGTCACCAGATGACAATCGGCCACTGCTAGGGTTAAGTCAGTCCGATCCCTTACCAGATTTATTTAAGTTAGACCACACAGTTAATTAGATGCGGTAAACAACTTCCTAAACCTGCAAAATAGCCTAAACTTAGCCTAGACCTGTTTCGGGTACAGTTTCTTAACTGGACTAGGTATGCTAGGCCTAATATCGATTGAAACTATTGATTCGATTAGTAAACCTTCATGCAATGGCAATTATTTGGTATGTCTACAACGCGATATTATGTACTTTTTTTATGTTTACTTACAGTATTTTTCACGCTGAATCCAAAAATGCAATCAGTTTTTGTCGGAGAGATTCCTAAATGATCGTAAAACGAGGGTCAACATTACGAATCTAAGGTTCATTGAGCTATACTGATGGCAATATGGCGTGGTCTGGACGGGTCCGTATGTGGACTGAGGACTGAGTGAGGAGGAGAGCAAACAGCTGTTTGTACTCGATACTTAATGCGGAATGAAATCAATTCGTTTTGAAACCAGAGATAATCAGAATCAGTTCTTATTTAGGCATGTGAGGAAGGTAGGTCGGGTTTTATGCGGATTCGTGACTGTATTAAGTGTTTTGAAGTGAGGTTAGATTAGGAAGGTTAAGGTTAGGTTATTATGAACCGACTCATTAATTTATGCTACTTCCAGACTGTTTTTGCACAATTTTTTGCAAACTGCGTAAGCATAACCGCGGATAACACCAGAGCGAACACTCACGGACTGCGTAAGCATTTTTGATATTTTTATTTCATTGTGTTTCACCCACTATTTCAATTGTGCAAAAACAGTCTGGAAGTAGCATAAATTAATGTGTCGGTTCATTATAACCTAACCTTTAACTTACCTAATCTAACCTCACTTCAAAGGACTTAATACAGTCACGAATCCGCATAAAGTCCGACCTATCTTCCTCACATGCCTTTTCTGACATAAAATGCGATTTAAACATTACTTTTAAGGTTGGGTTGGGTTGGGTTAGGTTAGGTTAGATTAGATTAGATTATGTAACATCATTTATTAGTTGCTGATACATTAAATTATGCACTGTGGCACGTTTAGACACAATGGGATTATGTGCTATGGGATTATGCACTATGGCACGTTCATTAACAGACGTTGAGGCATTAGTCAATGGTTCAGGATTGGAATGAGGACGATGATCATGTCGGCAGTGGCCTTGCTTCTATTACTGATATTTTACGTGAATAGATTCTATTTTGTTCTATAATTTATGTAGATGTGATTAATAGTTTATGTATCGTAGTTGATTTATTGTATTTTCTAAACAGCACCAAAGTCCATTTTCTTTTAAAAATCTAGTTATTGCATATTGTAACTCTGATTTGGCTCTCTTGGCGTCGTGTGTGGTTTTGTCTGTTATTATCGAATGTAAACAACTGACAGCTGTTTCCACTCCACAATCCTTCCTCCCCTTTAACCCTCCCAGTGTTACTTGACGAAAATTCGACAAGCAGCACACTTTGTGTAGTGTTACTTGTCGATTTTTCGACACGCAGACATCGTTTACGGCGAAGGCTCTATGACTGACTGAATCGGATTGAACTGGATCGAGTTAGGTATCGTTCTTTCCGTAATATTCTAAGCTTTCTCCAGAGGTCTGTCTCAGCGCTGTACGTTCTCTGAGCCGATCGTAATTAATTGTAGCAGACAGCTGACGTGCGTGTGCGTGTATTTGTAAACAGCTAGGTTACCCTCGGACCGATGACTGATGTGTTTTATTACGTTTATCATTGTTTTAGTGTTAAAAATCAAAAGTAGTGATATACGTGTTGCATTATAAGAAGATTTAAGTGGTTTTGAAGTGCTGGTTGATGATCCTGAAGAAGTAGGTAGTGATATTGATGTAAATTATCAGCCAGATTCCTAGCTATGGTTAGGCTATGCATTCTTAGCTAAACGCTATGTACTGAAATCTGTTTTTTGCCCATAACTTATTTATTTGCAAATCTACTTCCTTAGGTATATTATTATATATTTGTAATCCTCATAAAATTTAGAACAAAGTGGCTATTTTCAAATATTTGTAGGCCTATAATTTATAAAATTTCATTGAGCGCAAACTTATTTTTTTTTTTGAATATTTTCGAAATTATATTTTTTTTACCTAAAATTTTTTTTTTTGAAAAAATGTTCCTTATGTTTTATATATAATATTGAAGCCCATGATTTTCCAAACAAAATGGTATATAGAACATTAGAATTAACATTGTTTTAAGCTTCTCAGATCCGTTAATAAAACCTTGCAAATGCGCCAAAAATAGGTGGACATTAAGGCCTAAACTATGGACACTTGGAGGGTTAAGTGTTAGTCGCCACTAGAACTTGGACTCGTCCATACCACAAATATGTGAATATTACAACAAAACTGAAGCTTAATATTAATTATTTAACTGTACGGTCATTTAGAAATCTCTCCGACAAAAACTTATTGCATTTTTGGATTCAGCGTGAAAAATACTGTAAGTAGACATCAAAAAAGTACATAATATCACGTTGTAGACATACCAAATAATTACCCATGCAATTTTTTCACCATCAGCAAGTTTGGTTGGTTAGGTAAGGTTATGATAGTTTAATTTGATATTGTATTTCAAAATATTGATTAAGGCCTATTAATCAATATTTCCAATTCAGTAGTTTCAATCGATATTAGCATAGCCCAATTAAGAAACTACTCCCTGTTTCTATATAACTCGCGCCAACAAAAAAAACTTAAGTTAAAAATCTATCAAGAACTTAATCATCACAGGCCCATATAGGCTAGGCCTAGCCTGTGCATCTATTTCTGTTGAGTTTTAGCCACTGGAAGGCTTGAAAAGTGCTTGGGCACAACACTTTGATCAGTTCTTTTCGTGCCTTTGTATCCATGTTTAATTAGTGTAGGGCCTAGGGCAGAAATACGAATTAGTCTAGGTTAAATAGGCCTATGCCTAACCTATAAATTAGCCTATCAAGAAATGACCGATATCGAATTATTAGCCTTAATCATGTAACGAATTACACAGTTGGCGTATCAAAACTATCACAAAATCTTACTTAATGCCAAAACCGCATTAACTTAGATTTCACTTAGATGTTACATCCACAATTCAATCGATGTTAGGCCCCTACATGACTCACAAATTTCCAACATGGCGGATTCCAGAATCAGAGACCGGGCCGCCGGCGCCGGGCCGGACCGGGGCCAGATTGGCGCCAGCACTTTTTTTTCAACCCTCCCTTCATCCCCACCACTTCCACAAAAGGGTTCCACCTAGCATGATCAAGTCAGGATTTAGGAGCTTCTACCAAGGTTCATGATGACTCAACGACTCAACTCCGTATTCGTTGCGGTCGCCGGTCGGTAATGGTTGACGTCACACCATCGGCACGGAGCGGTGGTGGGGTTTTTTTCTGATCCACTCACGATCCTTGGAGTTGCACTGGCTGCATAGACGCTTATAGATAAGAGCCGATAACATCAAGGCGGAAAAAACAATAGGAAGTGGGAGTGGGATGGGAAGCGAAATTTGAACTTTCAAAAGATAAAGATAGAATCTCTAAAGTTCAAACGTCATGATAAGAAACTAAACCGATGACAATGAGTTATTTAATCAATTGAGCTCACCCTTGAATTCAATTTCCATGAGTTCTGTTTTCTCAAGCTGTGACTTTATCGCAGGATGGGCCTCTGGTAAGTTGAATTTCTCACCAAATCCCCTTTCCAGGAATAGACTATGTTAGGCTTATGACATAAACAAAATTAGATATTACTAGTCCTTTTTAGGCTACATGAATTATGGATGATCAATTAGTGAATCTTTCGTTGTTTCCATTCATAAGCTGTCTTTTCCATCTCACGGAAGTTAGGCCTACACAAAATCCAATTTCCGAAACAAATTTCCTGGACACAACTTAGGCTAAGATAAGGATGAAAATAAGGGAAAGAAAACATCCAATAACTTAAACAGGTTACTAAAATATTCTAATGATCAATATCATTAGGCTATATTTTTCTTAACTTTAACTTGGCTTTATGCTAGCAACTAAAGTTGTCCAGTCGACCTGGCCTATGCGCTCATGGTTAAGTTACCACCGGGTACACTTCCATATCCGTTGGCACAAACAACCCAATGAAAATATCTATCGATACCTAAGTTATATCGATTATTTGATATATATCGTTTCGTTGGTTAGGTAAGGTTAACCTAGCCTAACTAACCAAACGATAACTTATATCGAATGAAACAATCGAATAATTAATATTACTCATTCGGTTGTTTGTGCCAACAGATATGGAAGTGTACCCTCACCACCTTTGGTTAAGGACAAATCGGGACATTCGCCACTTCTCCTTTAATATTAACATCGACATAAGAACCGTTTATTGCCGTTAAACATGTACATGCAATGGGCAAAGTCACATTCTTAAAATATCTTAGCCTACTTAAAAATAAACAGATGTAGGCTATAGGCCTAGATCTTTCACAGAATGGTAACATTGAATCGTTGAAAGTCATTTTCAAGAAAACTCGTTAACACTATACATAGGGTTTTCCACTAACCAATCTGACAAAACTTTCTCAAATTTACTATTACTAACTTCTTTTGTGCTATGAGGCAGTTTGTTAAACAAATTAATACTAACTTAAAAACATTGAAAGACTTGAGGGTTTTACTTAACTTACAATGTTGCCTATAAATATGATGACTAGGCCTAGATCTTGTGAAATGGTTGTGGATTTGGTTTGACAAAGTGAGGTTATCTAAATTCTTCTTAACATAACATAAATACACAAAAATATATACATTTATCACAGTTAAAATCTTGGTTTGTTTGAACAAGGGCCTAAAGTGCTCATCAGGGTCTACATTAAATAAAATCCTCACAGCCTTTTTCTGGATCACTAAAACTTCACTTATTTTTGAACTATTGCCCCAGTACAAAATAGCATAGAGCAGAACACTATGATAAAAAGCAAAATAACAAGATCTTAAGTAATGACTAGGTAGGCTAAATCTAAGGCGACGCAACATTATAACAACTTTGGAAAGCTTTGAACAAACCTTAGTAACATGAGTATCCCAAACTAACTTAGGATCAAGATGGACACCTAAAAGTTTAACGCTACTGTCATCATCTGCCTCTTTCGGTGCTCTTATGTCTAGAGAGAAAGTTATTCTGTGTCTTATTCAAGTTAAGGAGAAATTTGTTAGCTGCATACCATTCAGTTGCCTCTTTAAGAACTACTTCATTCATGGTGCAACAAATGTCATTAAAATTGTTCTCGCTTCTAAAAAAGGTCGCATCATCAGCAAACATGACAGTACCAGCAGAGACATTATCAGGCTTATGTCGTTAACCATAACCAAAAATAGGAATGGGCCCAGGACCGAGCCCTGCGGTATACCATACTCAACCTGGGTAGCGACTGACATTGAACCCTTAACACTAACTTTTTGTCGCCTATTTGTTAGATAGGATTCAAAATTTTGATTTGAGGACCGACTATCCCATAATACTCAAGTTTTTTTCAATAGTATGTCCCAGTCAACGCAGTCGAAGGCCTTGCTCAGGTCACATAACGAAGCTCGAGTGGCTAAGCCTCGCTCAAAACCCTCAATTACTGAGGAAGCAAGGGCCCCGACCGCGTCGGCCGTTGACATACTAGGCCTAAAGCCAAACTGATCAGAAGAAATTAAACCATTGGATTCAAAGTAATCACTAACCTGAGTTTTTATTACCACTTCCACAACCTTGGCAATTACGGGAACCACAGATATCGGCCTGTAACTGGCTGCCTCCTTTACATCCCCAGATTTATAGATAGGTATGATTTTATGGATAACTCAAATTCGTCTCGGAAGATTCCTTCGCTCAAACAAGAATTAACAAGCAAAGTTAAGGGCAAAATTACAACATCTGCAACATATTTCAAGAGATCATTGGACATATCATATATATCCTTGGTTTTGGATGACTTCAAGCTGGTTAACACTTTCAATGCTCCACTAGGCTCAACATTTTGCCACACAAAGCTCTGCTTTACACTTAGCACTTTATTTCTCAGAAGATCTTCAGCCGTTGTGGTTAATGGAGGGATGGCATTACGTATCTGGGGGATGACCTCCATGAGAAACTTGCTGTAAACCTCTGCAGTAGGTTGACCTCTTTCCCTCGGAGCAGCATGAAGTTCATCTCTCACCACTTGCCATGCAGCCTTGGTCTTGTTCGCAGCAGACTCTATGAAGTTCTCGTTAGATGTCCTTTTGGCATTTTGAATGGCTTGCTTGTACAAGTTTCTTGCTGCTACGTAAGCCCTTCGATCAGTAGCACTCTTGGTATTATTTGCTATTATGTACAGGGACATAACGTAGTTCTTCTTTGCTTCAAGCTGGGGGGTATACCAGATGCCTGATTTACGCTTAGGAGCAGATAAATGATTTGTCGACCTCCTGGGGAAACACCAGCTCATAATACCAATTAATACATTAAAAATTGTAGTACAAATTGTAGTAGTATTTTTGCCATAGAGTAGGCTCTCCCAGTTAATAAGGGCTAACTGTTCTTTGAAAAGTTCCATTTTGTTATAGGTTATAGGTCTCACAATAACATTAGGGCGAGTTGCTTTTTTCTTGTCAACTTCACTGGGAAAGAGCATATCAGTAAGAATGACATGATGATCTGACAAAGGAAGTTTAACAACATTCGCCGAAATCATACACTGTTTCACATTCGTTACAACATTATCTAGGCAAGCAGGTCTTCGAGTAGGTTCCCAGACCGTGCATCGACAACCGACTAATTGAAGCGCATTCTGAAGAAGTGAACAATTACAATCGTTCTTAAGCACATCTACGTTGAACGTCACCACACTTAACAACTTTGGCTTCAAACTTAGTGAAATAACTCAGTGTAGCCTCAAGTTGTTGCAGGAAAATTTTCATGTCACCAGCAGGAGATTTATATAGGGATGATGTTATGTCTTCTCTAAGACTGTTAATAATTCATTTATACCTATTTTACTATCATATGTTTTTCGATTGTTTTTTTGTTTTGTAAACATTCATGAATTAGATTTTGTGTTGAGTTAATATGCGTGCATTTATTAATTATTTTGTAATTAATAAGAGTCATTTTAATTGGCGACGAGTGTGAAAATCAACTAGCCACTGTAAAATTCAACACATTTACTTTTCAAAATTACATTCAATTTCTAGTTTCAAGATACATTAATATTTTATACAGTTCAAACTATAATGGATGCACAACAGTTTACTTTACTTCTAAACACATTCAATGAACAACAAAAAGCACTTGTACGTGAGATGTCAAACATGTTTCAAGCTCAAATTCAAACAATTGTTACCTAGAGTAATAAAGTTATAGAGAGAGTTAAAACTGAAACTCTAGAGTTATAGAGTTGTTATTGGAAAACCTAGAGAAGAAAGCTGTCAATCTACAATGTCAAATGTTGCTACATTCGAAAACTTCAATGCCAAACAAGAAAAGTTTACCAGCTATTTAGAACGTTTTGAAAACTATTATACAATGAAAGGTTTGACTGATAAGAAGAAAATTGCTCAGCTCTTGTGTAATTCTATAGGTAGTGAACATTATCTGCAACAACCTATCTGCATTTTTGGGCCCAGACAAGCCACTCAAATCATTAGATTATGAAACTTTGTTGAATGACTTCAAGAAACTATTGATTCCAAAGAAAAGTGTTGTTGTTGCTCAACATTATTTCTTAAATATCTTTCAAAAAGAAAACCAGTCAATTTCAGAGTTTGTGGCTGACCTCAGACGTGATCTTCAAGAATGTGAATTTGCAGTTGAATGTTCCAACAATGAATGTGGAACATCTGTGTCAATTGCTGATGTTTTCTTGCGGGCACAGTTCATACGAGGATTGGAGGACAATTGGCTTAGGGAACACCTTTTACAATCCGTTTACACAAAGTTTGATGACATTCTAGAGAAAGCTATTGCCCTTGAAGCATCAAAGGTTGAAAGCAAGGAATTTCACCAACATGCATGTTCTAACAACTTTAATATGGACTCGGCTGGAGTGCACAAAATTACAAGATCTTCTAGACGATCCCACCAGTTCTCTAACAATCGCTCATCCAACAAGACATCTCTCAACTGGAAACAACATTCAAATGACAAAAGACCTGACTTCAATGCCCTCGGAATAGAAGGCCTCTGTCTTAGATGTGGAAGTAACAAACACATTGCTGCAAATTGTAACAGACACAAGTATAAACTCCAAAGTGGGGAGTGTTTAAAACGAGGACATGTCTCTGCGGTCTGCATAACTACACTGATGTCAAGGACTAAGAAATCAACATCAAAGTTAAATTCAACCAACAACCTACATTCAGGATCAAATGATGACGATTATTCTAGTGACGACTCTTCTGATTACGGAGTGCACAAAATTGATTCGATCTACCAGAACTTTGATGTCGTAGATTTATTTGAAGTTGGATATGATTCAGACAAGTACATTGTTTCTGTCACTATAAATGGAAGATTACAATGTTTTGAAGTTGACAGTGGGGCTAAATTTTCTCTCCTTGCGAAGAATAACTTTGAACGTCTACATCTGAACGTACCTGTAAAACCATCAAGACTAGCTTTCCGTTCTTACTCTGGAGACATAATCAAACCAGAGGGAAAGGTATCAG